CCGACGCTGTGGCGCAAACTCACCGCGGAGAGCTGTGCTTTACCCCGGCTCCTCGGAGAAGAGGACCCACGGCGCGGCTACCTGGGAGTCACTCACGCAGTCCGGCTGGCGCATCTCCATCTGAACACCCCCGGTGTCGCGGCGCGGGCGTCTCAGATGGCCAACAGCCCCCGGTGGCACCTCCTCTCTCCACGCTGGTCCTCGGGGATTCCATCGTCAGGAACGTGCGGATGAGGGGGGTGCTCACGCTGTCGTTCCCGGGAGCCACTGTTGTTGACATAGTGGACAGAATTCCCAACATTCTGGCATCCCATCCACAGGTTAACCGGCTCATCATCCACATCGGCACCAATGACATCCCTAAACAGCAATCTGAGCTGCTGAAGCTGGACTTCCTCCAACTCTTCAGCCTCCTTGGTCAGTTGCAGGTGAGTGCTTTTATCTCTGGGCCCACCCCCACCTGTGGCAGAGGGATAGGCCGTTTCAGCCGGCTGCTCAGCCTTAACACCTGGCTTTCCTCCGCCTGTGTCTCCCACGGCTTGGGTTTTATTAACAACTTTGATGCCTTCTGGGAGAGGAGGCATCTTTTTGGGGCAGACGGGCTCCACCTCAACGCCTGGGGACGCCGTTTGCTGTCCACCAATTTGGCATTTGGCGTACAGCACTCCCGCACACCACCCTGTCACTACCCCAAACCGACATTACCTGCTGATCTGTCTGCCACTGACTGATGTTCCCTTGGTCCCAGCTCCTATATTTGTTCCACTTTTAACAGTAATACACAAAACTCTGGACTAGGACCTTTCTCTCCCACAGTCAACACAATACCCGTCATAATCACAAACAGAGAGCAACAGAATTATCATAAATCCAGTAACTCCAAAAACATTAATAACCTCCGGCCTCTTCAAAAATATCAACATCCATTCAACTCTATTGTCAAAAATCCACCAGTCTCAATCAGTATGGCACTTTTAAATGTACGCTCTCTGTCGAACAAGTCTTTTATTATTAATGATTTAATTTTAGATAATAAACTTGACTGTTTATTTTTAACTGAAACATGGCTGGGTTCGGATGCACCAGTTGTTCTCACTGAGGCCTCCCCACCAAATTTTAATTTCTCTTTTTCTATTAGAAGTGGTAAGAGAGGTGGTGGGACTGCATCTTTAGCCAACAACACACTCACCACCAAACAAATTTTATTTGATCATTTTACCACTTTTGAATTCCATGCTATTGTTTTCAGCAGCCCTCCAATTTTATCTGTCACAATTTATAGACCACCTAAAGACAGCGCTGCTTTTATCAAGGAATTCTCAGAATTTTTAACAAACATACATTCAAACTATAATATGATAATTTTAACCGGTGATTTTAACCTGCACATAGATAATCCTTCTGACCCTGCAGCAAAAGAATTCTTAAACATTCTTCACTGTTTGGATTTTACCCAGCACGTCACGCAGCCGACTCACAACAGAGGACACACTCTGGACCTGGTCATCACCCATGGGCTGTCCACCAGCGTGTCCTCTGTTGTTGACTTGGCTGTCTCTGACCACTACTGTGTGTTTTTTAACATCACCGGTTTTATTCAGCGGGAGACCTCGGTGCGAACTGTGAGGAGGCGCTATCTAACCTCTGAAGTGGCTGCAAATTTTACCAGGGTTTTAGACAAATGCCCCCCTGTGATTTTACCTGCACCCTGCGATTTTATTTTTAATTATTTCAACAGCAAACTGAAGACAAGCCTTGACTCCGTTGCTCCACTCACCACCAAAAAGATTAACGTAAAACATGCATCACCCTGGAGAAACGAAGAAGTCAAAAAACTCAAAAGAAATTGCAGGGCAGCAGAAAGGAGATGGAGGAAAAATAAAAACACTATCAATCATCAAATATTTTGCGAGCAACTTAAAATGTACAATAATACATTAAGGAAGTCAAGAAATTCATACTTCGCCAAAATAATCAGTATTAACAAAAATAATCCCAAGGTCCTCTTTTCCACCATAGATCATTTATTTAACCCTGATTTTAAAAGCTCCAAAAGAACCCCCACAGACTCGCTCTGTGAGCAGTTTGCAGAAAACTTCAGGGGAAAGATCAGCGCCATCAGATCTGATATTTTATCTAATCGCGATATGATTGTAAACACATCTGAGGGCTCGATTGTACCTGAGGAGACACTGGACAGCTTTGTCCTGGTTAATGCTGAGAACCTTCAGAAAGTTTTCTCCACAGTGAGACCCACCACATGTCTTTTAGATCCAATCCCTTCTTCACTCCTTAAAACACTTTATGGATTTTTTGAGGCTGAGCTTTTATACATGATGAATTGCTCTCTTCAGTTGGGTGTCTTCCCTGCTGCCTTTAAAACGGCGGTGGTGAGGCCCCTTCTGAAGAAGAGCAATTCGGATTGTAATTATTTTAATAACTACAGACCTGTATCCAACTTACCATTTTTAAGTAAAGTCTTAGAAAAACTTGTTTTTACTCAGATTACTGATTTTCTCAATGATAGACAGATCCTGGAGATATTCCAGTCTGGATTTAGGGTGAACTACAGCACAGAGACGGCTCTCCTAAAGGTTTTAAATGATCTTAGATGTAACTGGGACTCCCAAAAGCTCTCAGTCCTGGTGCTGCTGGATCTAAGCGCAGCCTTTGATACAGTAGACCACGCTATTCTTTTAAACAGACTGAAACACATGGTGGGCCTCTCTGGTGCTGTACACAACTGGTTCACTTCCTATCTCTCTGACAGATCTTTTATGGTGAGTATGGATACATGCTCCTCTAAGATCCATAAAATGACATGTGGTGTGCCTCAAGGGTCGGTTCTAGGCCCTGTACTTTTTAATTTGTATATGCTCCCTCTCGGCGGTGTCATCAGGAGGCATGGAGTGAACTTCCACAGTTACGCTGATGACACGCAGCTGTACATCTCCATGTCTCCAGATGACACCAGACCAATGGATGCCCTTTTTAACTGTATCTTGGATATACGATCTTGGATGGCAGAAAACTTTTTACAGCTTAACCAGGACAAGACTGAAGTTTTAATTGTCGGTCCTGATGCTCAGAGAGAGAAACTCTTGTCTAAATTAGAGGCATTTTCACTATGTCCTTCGCTACAAGTGAAAAACCTGGGTGTTATTTTTGACTCTGAGCTTGGTTTTATCCCACATATTTAACATGTAACCAAAACTGGATTTTATCATCTAAAAAATATAGCCAGAGTCCGCCCTATTCTCTCTCGGGCCAACACGGAGATGCTGATGCATGCTTTTATTACTAGTCGCATTGATTACTGTAATGCCCTGCTCTCTGGTCATCCTAAGAAGAATATTTCAACTTTACAACTTTTGCAAAACTCGGCAGCTCGTGTGCTGACAAAGACCAGAGGGCGGGCCCACATTACACCGGTTTTAGAATCGCTGCACTGGCTCCCCGTGTGTTTCAGGATCGATTTTAAAGTTCTTTTATTGGTTTTTAAATGTCTTAATGGTCTTGGGCCTTCTTATCTCTCAGATCTGCTTTTACCATACGAACCCTCGCGGACCCTGAGGTCCTCTGGTACAGGCCTTTTGATTGTCCCTAAAGTCAGGACACATACTCACGGAGAGGCAGCTTTTCAGTGGTATGGTCCTCGTCTGTGGAACAGCCTGCCGGAGGAGCTCAGGGCCGCAGAGAACGTACATGTTTTTAAGAACAGGCTCAAGACCCACCTTTTTAATTTAGCTTTTACTTAGCGTTTATTTATTTTATGCTTATTTATACTATCCTGTTATTCTATTATTAATTTAGGATTTACCTAATATTTTTTGATTTTATTCTTATTCATTTTTTAATCTTCTTACTCTATTTATATTTATATTGTATCATGTTCTTATTTATTTTATCATTTTACCCTGTATATATCGTATTATGTCATATCTTCAGTGTTTCCTCGGAGGGCGCTCTCTGCACCGGGGCTGTGATTGACAGTGGCTGCTGGGTCTCTGGGGGTCCTCTCAGCCTGGCTGGGGGGCTCCTTTGCCTCCCTCCTGCTGTGTGCCCAGCCTGGAGGCTGCGGTCTGTGACCGGCTCCCGGTGCAGACGGCTCCCTGTTATAGTGTTTCCTCACTTGGCTCATGCGAGCCCAGCCCAATTTTTACTCTTTAAGTGTGTGTGTGTGTGTATGTGTGTGTGGGTGGGGGGTGGGGGGGGGATATATGTGTATTGAGAGTGTGGGGAGTGAGTTGGAGGGTGGGGTGGGCTGCTTTTAACTATGTAAAGCACTTTGTGCTACATTTTTTGTGTATGAAAAGTGCTTTATAAATAAAGATTGATTGATTGATTGATAATAAAAAAGTGAAAACTAAATGCAATCCAAAAGTCTTGAAAATTTGTTAAAAACAAATTAAAAAAAAAAACATAATATAAAGTGCACATAGTCATTCACAGCCTTTGCTCAGTACTTTACTGCTTTAAATAACCTTTAAACTCACAAACATACATCAGACAGAAACAGCACATAAAACACTACCTTCTCTCTTTTTGGTTGGCTGTGGTTGGTATTTTGAAGTCGCTATTTTTGTCCAACTTTTCTCTGGTCAGTTAAAATGAACCAAAGTAAAGAAGAATATAATTTATTGCATAGTCATTTTAATGGTTACAATATGAAAAAATATAATTACTGAACATATTTATAAAACACATTTTAAATATAATTTAAACTTATACGGTCTAAGTCTCACCTTCGGTTTTTATCGAAACACATCGTTTCATCACTAGAACCAGAAACACCAGTAGAACCAAAACACAGACTAATCCAGCAGTCAGCAACACAGGGAGAACAGGAGATGAACCAGCAGAAGAGGCAGGTGGAGGTGTGGTGGTGTGCTTCTCTAAAATAAAGCAAACACAGTCATTAAGTTGTCGTCACATTGTGAATGTTGAAACCTGCAGAAACACAGACAGGTGAGTGTGTCACCTGTGACAGTGATCCAGCTGGATGGAGACTCTCCATGACCGCTGATGTCACACTTGTAGAGGCCTTCATCAGACCTGGAAACATGCTGGATGGTCATGTGACCTGTAGGCTGCTTCCTGATGAGGGAGCCATCTTTATAGAAAGCAGCTGTGAGGTTGGAGGGAGTGGTCTCTGTTTTACAGAGCAGAGTGACGTCATCTCCCTCCATCACAGGGAGGACAGGACTCTGCAGGATCACTGATCCACCTCAACACAGAGACAAACTACAGCATTTCATCCATTTACACACAGCTTCATCAACACTAACTCCACACACTCAGCTTACCAGTGACTGTCAGGTTAACCATGTTACTGATGGGACCCTCTCTGGACTCACACCAGTAAACTCCACTGTCCTGTATTAAGATATAGCTCATGTTACAGGAAGAACCAGCTGGTTTTCCAAACCCATCTGTTCCACACTGAGTCCTCTGTTGTTTGCTTGTGTTCCTCCTCAGAGTCCATCCAGCAGAGCTGTCGTCCTCCTCACAGCTCAGAGACACAAAGTCTCCTTCAAGGAACTGAGAGCTGCTGGGACTCACGGTCAGACGAGCTGTGAGGGTTAAAATAATAATAATAATAAAAAAGATTATTTGTTTATCTTCCAGTATCGTACAACACAAAAGACAAATGTAAAACAAAAAAAAAAAAAAAAAAAAAATTTTATGGCTACTACTCCAATAGGCGACAGAGTGGCAACTCAGATTTTTAACTAATCAGCAACTGATTATTTAATTATGTTTTTGCTATGAACCAACAAGAATATGTTTTTGTAAACATCTCTTGAAATTAACCCTTATTAGAAATTTTATATTATGGTAAGACATTAAAGAACCTAATTGGCAATAATCAATGGAAAAAAAACCAGAAGGTTACTGACCTTGGATTGTTCTGCAGACCAGCAGTGAGATCAGAACTAAAAGCAAACTCAAGTTAGTTTTTCCTTAACAAGTTTTTTTTTCTAATCACCCCCCTAAAGAGAATTAGTAAAACTTAGAAGTTGTGTTAAAAAATTAATTTGATGGCCTTGTGATGTCATAGTGATCTCCTGTGACTTTACTAGTGTGTGGATATAAGAATATAAGGATATAAAAATAGAAGAGTGTGCTTCATCTCACTGTAGTTGTGAGCAGGAATAGTTTTAAGGGTGGTTTATTCCATAGTAGCCACAGTATTTGTAATTATCAAAATGATTTTTTTAGCCTTATCCTGGGCTTGGCCATGGGGCAGCAGCCTAAGCAGAAAAGCCAAGAACTCCCTCTCTTAGGCCATGTTACGCCCCCCCCCCGAAGGAGTCTAGGCATGCGAGTGAGGGCGCCAGTAACAAATGGGTCCAGAACAGAATGAAACGAGAACAGACAGGTGCTCTAAGTAAATAAAATAGTCTTTATTATAGATAATCTTAACATAAAGAGCCGGCAACGCCGTTTTACCAATAACACTTGGAAAAAGGAAAAAAGGTTGCAACAACAAAGAACAAAACAACCAAACAAAAACTCCACACCACGAGGAGGCACTTCCAGGGGCCCACAAGCTCACCCTGTCACTAGCAGCAGCTAGCTTTACAGCTGCCGAGGCCCACAAGCTCACACTACTCACTAAAGCAGCTATACCTAGTGATGTGACGTTCTGTATCGAGGCTTCGAAGCTTGTGTCGAGTAATGGAGGGGGTGTTTCCACGATGCGCGTATCGAGGCTTGCTTCATTTATGGGAGGAGCTGAAAATGATGATGTCCGAAGCCTCGCTGCCCGGCTGTACCACGTGACTGGTTCAGGAAGCGGTTCGAACTTTGCCGCGAGCTGACAGCGATATAAACCCCTCAGACTTCATTCAAAATGTGGGTGTTTGATGGAGAGTTGCGGTTAGTGAGAGTTTGGAGACCGTTTGGAGGTTTATCAATTCAATCAATCAATCAATTTTTCTTTATTGTCCCACAAGGGGAAATTAGTTTAGCAGCAGGAGGATAAGAACAACAGAACAATACTATAAAACAATAATAACAATAATAATGATAGAAAATTCAAGGACAATTATTTGCCATTAAGGAGACAAGACGCAGTAGGGATAAAAGAGACCTGGAGTCTTTTAGTCCTCCTCGGAGGTACTCTAAAACGGCGGCCGGAAGGCAACAACTCAAACTCACTGTGAAGTGGATGGTTCACACAATTAATAATAGAATGAGCCTTTCTAAGCACATTTCTATTGTAAATGGCCAAAAGTCCATCTTGCCAGCGCCCTGAAATTTTGCTAGCGGTTTTTACCAGAAGTCCCAACCGATTCTTATTCTTCACCGTCAGGTTACCAAACCAGGCAGCGATACAAAAAGACATCACAGATTCGATAAAACTTCTATAAAACAAAGACAACATCTCAGATGAGACATTAAAAGATCTCATTTTCCTTAAAAAAAAAACAGTCTTTGTTGAACTTTTTTAGTAGTGGCATCAGCATGAGATTCAAAACACAGTTTATGGTCAAGTACCACACCTAGGTATTTATAACTCTCAACGATCCCAATATCGGCAGTTTTAATGATAGTGGGTGATGAGCTATAAGAGGACTTCCTAAAATCAATAATCATGTCTTTAGTTTTTGACACGTTCAGTGAGAGGAAGGACTCATCACACCAATTCACAAAATCATCTACAACCTGTCCATGGCCTGACTCGTCCCCCACTAGAAGACTGACGATCACTGTGTCGTCAGCAAACTTCAGGATGTGTCTGTTTGTGAAATTGCTGCGACACTCATTTGTGTACAGAATGAACAGAAGGGGGGAGAGGCAGCAACCCTGAGGAGATCCAGTAGAGGAGGAGAGCACATCAGAAAAGACATTATTCACCCTCACACATTGTGACCTATTAGTCAGAAAGTCTGTCACCCAGCCGACCAGACTAGTGTCAAGCTTGAAATGATTGTAAAGCCTGTCAGCAAGTAAGAGGGGTTGAATTGTATTAAATGCAGATGAAAAGTCAGCAAATAATAATCTTGCATGGGTGTGGGGGGCCTCAAGATGCTTATACAAGAGATGCAGGAGTGTGACAGCAGCATCCTCCACACCTCTCCCTGCTCTATAAGCAAAATGGAAGGGGTCAAGATGGTGTTCAACCTGCATTAAAATCTCCTTCTTAATTATCTTCTCAAATGTCTTCATCACTAAAGAAGTCAGAGCCACAGGCCTAAAATCATTCAGTGCCTTAGGAGAACTGACCTTAGCAACAGGAACAATGATCACATGTTTCCAAATCTTAGGTACTGTCTGTAGCTCTAAAGAAAGTGAGAAGATATAGTGAAAAATCCCACTCAGCTGATCAGCACAAGTTCTCAGTACCTTTCCACAGATGTTATCAGGTCCAGGACTCTTATGAGAGTGAGGAGAGAAAGTCAGGAGAAAATGGAGCCAGCTAAGAAGAGGAGGATGTCCTCCCCTGTGTGGGAACATTTTGATCTTATTCCTCCCAACAAGGTATGTAAATTTCTACAGAAGATGTATTTTCATAATACTGATGGTGCAATACAATTTATGTTGAGCTGTCTTTACTTTTGTACAAGGTGAAGTGTTTGCTATGTGCCAGGGAGCTGGGATATAACGACAACACCTCATCCATGCTTAGGCACTACAGAGCTTTGCATGAGAATAAGGGGAACACCGATTGTGGAGCAAGACCAGGTGAGCCATCAAATGCCATGATAATATAGCATGCAGTAATGTTACTAAATGATATAACAATATTATACAACTGTTATAAGTTACGTGTGTGATATTTATATTTGTGCTTTGTCTTTATTGTCTTTCCTCAGGAGAACAATCTCAAATAGATGAAGACCTGGTCAGCATGGTGATTGAGGACTCCCAACCATTTAGCATTGTGGAGGACAAAGGATTCAAAAGATTTGTTAAATCATTAAATCCTAGCTATGTTCTCCCCACTAAAAAGGTCATAAAAGCAGTGAAATGTAGTTTTTACAGAATAAAATGTGAACAGGCAGGACTGAGGCCTCAGTGTGTAGCTGTCCATACCTCAACGTTACAAAAGCACAACTACTGTCCACACCCCAACCACACCTCACCTCACAGTAAATGATCATTTTAAGCATTTCCAAATAATCATGTTCCATACTGCCAGTATAAATATACACAGTATACTGCATCAATACAATATAGATGTTTTACACACTCCTTTTGTTGTTGACATTTACAGGCTGTGTGCAAAAGGCCACACTCTTCAAATTCATGCCAACTAATATTTTTACATCCAGTAGGTGTCCTGCTAGAGCAAATGAAGCTTCAAGAAGCTTTGCGCTGGGGTGAAGCAATTGGATGAAAAGCTTCAGTGCTTCATGAAGCTTCATCTGCCCATAGCTATACCGCTTCCACAACTCCACACTTCAGGCAGGATAACCACACACCAAGAACACAAAGCAGAGACACCAGAGAACACCCCATGTGGGAACACCAGATAAAAAAAAAACAACCTGGCTCACAGCTCATCCCCAGCTTAAATAGCCTCAGAGGTGATTGCTGACTGGATTCAGGTAGCCAACGAGGCTAATCAAGAGCAGCTGTGTCCTGGGGAGAGTGAGAGAGAGACAGAGGGGTGGAGCAAGAGAGGAAGAGGCGGAGAGAAAAACCACACCCACACAAGGGCAGTTTCAGGAGGCCCAGCTAGGGCCATAACAGGCCACCACCTCCAGATCATCAAGGCATTCTTAGGCCAGCCAAGAGATGTACTCTCTCCATTGTCTCCTGGATCTACACTGGGGCCTCTTCCTGGGTGGACATGGGTAGGACTTACCCAGGAGGCATCCTATAGTCAGTTGCCTGAGCAACCTCACCTGGCTCCTTTCAGTTTAGAGGAGTGGTGGAAACATGTTGATGCTTGCAGGGCTCACACCCAACCTTGTCTGAACTCAGATGTTAAGTGGAGTCTGGCCTAATTAAAATGGCCTGGCAAATGGCCTGTATTTGTATAGCGCTTCACTTAGTCCCTAAGAACCCCAAAGCGCTTTACACGTTCAGTCATCCACCCATTCACACACAGGTGATGGCAAGCTACATTGTAGCCACAGCCGCCTTTGGGCGCACTGACAGACTACTTAGATAGGAGATTGGAGTTAGAGTGGGTCGTCTATTCAATTCATATCAATTTTATCTATAATTTCCAAATTACAACAGCAGTAGCCCCAATGTGCTTTATGTTGTAAGGTAAAGACCCTACAATAATACAGAGAAAACCCCAAATATCAGATGACCGTATAAGAGAAAACACCTGCCACAGTGGGAAGGATAAACTTCCTTTTAACAGAAAGAAAGCTCCAGTGGCACCAGGCTCAGTGAGGAGTGGCCATCTAGGAGAAGACAGCACAAAGACATGTTGTGGAAGAGAGGCAGAGTACCTAATGGTTGAATGCAGTGAAGATGGAAGAAGAAGCACTCAGTACATCATGGGAATCCACCAGCAGCCTACACCTATGGCAGCATAA